TAAGATCTGAAGAAAATACATGTTAACAAAACATCTGAACTTATGTATTTAAAGCAAAAGCCTAATTACAGTAGGTGATTTTCACACTGTGTCACTTAAGTTCTTAGAGATCTCACATGAGAAGTGTAGATATTCACCAGTTCTGCAAATCAGTACGTAATTCAGTAGGTACATACAGCCAGCTCTGTTAAGGCAAAGGTGCTTAATTAGACCTCATTAATACTGATGACTTGGTTTCAAAAAAATATTTTTCTGTTGTTGAAAACCAGCTTCTTTGGGGTGATCATTCCTGAATGTTTAAAACAGATTTTGAGTTTGAAATGCTTATCAATAAGTATTAGTAACTCTGGGTATGGAAAGGCTTCTTCTCTCTGCATCTGTGAAATTTCTTTGGAAAGTAATAGAATGCCCTTGCTTACACAAGTTTCTGGTGGAGGAAAGAGCTACAACTGTAAGTACATGTGGCTTAAGCATAAGATTAACCTACTGATCAGCTACATTTTTTAAAACTTGATGAAAGAACTCATGAAATGTCTTTTCTTATGTATTTCATTGCAGATAATGTTCATGACTCAAGCTGTGAAGCTTAATAGTATACAACGTGGGATCAGAAATTAAATTGACTTCCTTTATCTGTTCAGATGTAGAGCCCACATATCTCTGTGTCTGGGAATGGTAAAAATGTGCACATGGATAAGCTCCATCAATTTTTGAAAGATAAACTCCTCAAATATGAGTTTACAATGTGGAAATCTTGCCCACCAATGTCCTTCATTTTCAGCATAGTCTGTATGAGGAGGATTAAGTCAGTGTGCATCCTCTCAGGGTTCAAAGATGCTTCATAGAAGGCAGAATTCCTTGCTGCTAGTTGCAAGCAGCATAAACTCCACCTCTTTGAGCCCTGTCCTGCATCTAAGATGCTGGAAATGCTTTCCCTGACTTAAGCATGAGTCAGATAAAGTATTCGATCCATATTAACTTCACATCTTTATTTCTTTAATATAGACACCTGGTTTTGCTTCAAAGCCTCCAAGGGCTGTATAGGCACCACACTGAAGTGGGGAACAGTCACCCAGGCCAATATAATTATACTGGACCCAGGAGGAATTGTGATAAAGGATTTTTTCATTGGCGAGACCATGCCTAAACCTCCCACAAAAAACGTGGGGGAATCTCTAAAGCTGCTCTGTGTGCACATTAAAGATGTCCTATAAAAGCACTGCATAGTCCAAACTGATGCCATGTTTACATATTTCAGAAGAAAGAGCAATTTGGTCTCTTCCAGCCAAAGAGATGCTATAATTGCAGTCATGGGAATAGATAGGGTTCAGCAGTAGCAGTCATTTTTCCCCTTCTTGGTAGCTGGTGCAGTGCAGTGTTTTGACTTTCAGCCTGGGAACAGAGCTGATAACAATGATGTTTTGGTTTGGCCAAGGACTTTGGGAGCCTCACGCTCTGCCAGGGAGGAGGGGAAGCCAGGAGGAAGCAGAGACAGGACACCTGACCCAAACTGACCAAAGAGGTATTCCATACCACAGCACGTCATGCCCAGGAGGGAACTGGGAGTTAGTCGGAAGGGCTGGGAGACTGCAGGGTTGGAGGAGGTATCGGTCGGTGCTTGGTTGGGCTGGGGGGGGCGAGTGGACTAGATACTTGCCCATACTGTCCCACATGCCCTGCCACTCATGACTGTCCAGCCTTGGGGAAAATCTCTTGGTCTCCTTATATTGTTGTCTAACCCCAGACAAGACCCAAACCTGACTCTGCTTAACTTTTGAGATCAGACAAAATGGTGATGGGTAGAACACAGCCTGTGTGTGTGCCAACATGCTGATCCCCATCACAATCAGCAGGCAGGTCCCAAGGATACCCAAAGGCCATTCAAAACCTTCAGAACTCTCACACGATGCTGCTGTACTTGTCACTGGGGCTGGTGTAGCTGCTGTGTTTGTCACTGGGGCTGGTGTAGCTGCTGTACTTGTCACTGGGGCTGGTGTAGCTGCTGTGCTTGCCGGCCCTCCCACCGCCAGCTTCTCTTTTCCTGAGTCCAGCTCTTCCTCCTCTGCCTTGCTGGGAAATGCTGCGTGGTCTCCTGCATCCTCCTGGGGCTCGGCGGGCGGCTTCCGGGGGATGCTCTCGGCCGTCGCGGGGCTCGGCTCGGCCGCGGGGCTCGGCTCCTCCGCGGGGCTCGGCTCGGCCGCGGGGCTCGGCTCCCCCACCGCCTTATCCCGCTGCTCGGCAGCCCCTTCCTTCTGCTCCTCGACCGCCCCGACCTCCTCCACCGGCAGCCGTCCCCGCGCGGCCTCCGGCCCCGCTCCCGCCGCCGCTTGGTCCCCGGGGCCGCTCTCCCGGGCCGGTTCGGCTGCCGCCGGCTCCCGGGGCCGCTCCCCCTCAGTTCCCCGCAGCCTCACGAAGATGGAGAGTAGGGCGAGGGCCAGGACGGTGAAGAGCAGCCGGACGGCCAGGTACAAGTCCACGGCCACGTCCTTCCCGCCCTTCTGCTGGAGCCCACCCGTATTACAAGCCATTGCCATAAAGCACAGTGAGACAAGGACCTTAGCCCAAGCCCCACACTTGATAAACACTAACACAGCAAATACCGGCTCTAAGTAAGTTACAACGGTCTGAAGCTGTGAGATCAACAAGAACAACTCTGAGAGCCAATAAATCAGCATTGTGACTAGTGACTATTAATCCAGTCAAATCTGTCGTTATCTCAACCCCTCGTGCCCACGTTGGGCACCAAAAAGAACTGTCGTGGTTTAAATCCCAGTCGTCCAGGCATTCTAGAAGTCATCATGGACTGGCCAGAGGGCAAAGATTTCGGAATGTCACCAGAGGAGGAGGTGATGCGCGCTGAAGAGGCCCCACCATATAATAAACTGTCAGAAAGTGAGCGAACGAATTACCTGACTGGGTTTAAACCACGACAAGGAGAATGATTTTTCTGCAGGCTGAGGTTCTGGTCCCTCTCCTGCAGGTACAGCTGTACCCGGCTACTGAGCCGGTGCATTTCAGTTCTTGGCATAAAATGCCTTTCAGTAGAGGTGAGCACTTTCGAGGCTGCTCCTAACAACAATGCAAACTCACCTGAAGGCAGAATCAGGCAATGGTAAGTGCATCAAGAGCCTAATTGTGAGGGCCTCCATATATGTACATAAAGCCCTCTTTTAGCAGTGTCTATAGGACACCTCCTTCTGGGTGTGATGGGACAGAGCTGCCTCCTCTAGGTTACCTTTTTTCAGCTGTGGTATGGACAAGGAGCAGATGCACTTGGGTGATAAGTGTTTGGAGGTGCCTTCACCCCTCCCTCCAAAATAAGTAGAAGTTGGGAGTGGTTATGCATTCACTGGAAAAAGAATGTGAACAGGAGTGAAAAGAGTAGCTATAAGATGTAATTTCTTTCTTGACATGCCAGTTGTCTTTTACATTTTTATCTTGCAAATGGTCAGGAAAGGCATGGCTACCTTGGAAAACAGTGGCAGGTGAGCATCAGGTGAGTACCGTGGTATTTGCCATATCTTTCTATGATGGATAAATCAGATATCAGGGTCCTTAAGGCCATTCTCAAAAGTATTTGTCGTTTAATAGCTCATGATAAAAATCACATTCGCATCCCCCAGAAGTTTCATTTTACTCTGAATAGGTATTTCAGCTCAGGATAGGGTGGGGAGGTGGACTCCTAAATTGTGTGCACCAATTAAGAAAGACTCAGGCCCTCTAAGAAGGGGTGCCCCCATTCCAGGGTGGGCCAGACATCTCCCTTGTTTCACTGGCTGGCTGGAAAGAGGCTTCTGCACAATGCTCCTATTTATGTGCTTCATGGGTGGGGAGCAACCACGGGTGAGGGTAAAGCCTCTTAGCTGGAGTCTCAGGGGACAAAGGGAGCTTTGTATGCAGGTTGGCAGGGAGACTCCTCTCCTGTTCACTGGGGGAGGTGGCTCTTGCTAGGGACATGTGGCTGAAATCCTTCCATGGTGCAACTGGAGGAGAGGAGGGCTGAGCTGCAGCAGGTAGCAATTCCTTTTACATTTCACAGCTAGAAAGTAGTGGTTGTTCAGTCTAAATTCCAGGTAAATGAATCATGGAATACCGTAAATTCTCTCTTAGGAGACAGGCCTCTGCTTTCAGATGTTTTTGAGCCTATTCAAGCAACTTCAGGCTATACTTCCTATAGCAATGGGCTGAATCGGTGCCCTCCTTCCTCACTGCTTCAGAGGGATGTTGGTTTTGATGGTTTTAAGTTTAAATTCAATACAGCATCAACCTCATCAATCACAGTATGAAGACAGACCCTGTCCCAGGCTTTATCTTTGCTTTTTGCACTTCTCCAAGACATAGGAGGGGAAAAAAAGCTGCTAAATGCTTCTAGGTAATAGAACTGAGACTCAGAATTTGAAACTGGACTAGGTGTCAGAGATGGAAGTCTGAATCTGAAAAGGCAGACTTTCTGACTTGTTTGATTTGCTAGTTCTGCTGTTCTGTTTGCTTTTGATGGATCACATTTTTATAATGATTTTATTTCGCTACTATTTTATACAAATACGAAAGGGAAATATATTAGGAAATCTAATGTGTTTGTATTTGCATTTGTATAAATAACTCTTTCACAAGCTATTTGTTAGTTATTTCTACTGTAGAGCATCAAGGGATAAAAAAGAGTTACAAGGGATAAAAAAGAGTGTAGATGTTCCTAAGACAGCACTAAAAAAAACCCTCAGCCTAAAAGGCACATGCCATATCCACAGTCCATTATTTAGTATTTGAAGTCCATACACATAAGGATAGTAGTACAAGAAGGCAAGCTTAACAGAAAGCATCAGTTTAGCATACAGTTTGAAACATGCAATACTGACAGCTTCTACAGCACTGGCGAGTCAGCTGCATAAGGGTAAAAGATCTGTGATCTTATTGTCAGCAATGGCAGATGAAGACCTGCTAGAGAAGGTCCTGAAAATATTCATGGAGCTGACTCTCACTGTTTTTTTGTTGCTTTTTTGTTTGTTTTTTTTTTGGTTTTTTTTTTTAATGATGACCTTTAGTTTGTAAAAGGATGTGGAAAACAAGTGAGTCACCATTTTCCAGCGGCAAGTGTAATGTGATAATTCTGTCTCTTAATGTGTTTTTTCCTGGGTGCCTTTGTCCAAATGACTTCCAGGCTGAACTGTGTGGTTAATTAGTTATGTACAACAAAGCTCTTTCACGGTGAGAGTAGACTGGTTTTGTGTGTTCCATTTTATGGATTATATTGTTGTCTTTAAACTAAAGATTTGGGAAGAGCAGGTTTTAAGTTCTTTCCTACAGGCTGATAAAGAACAGAAGGCCACAGGCAGCTTTCTCAATTGCTATAACAGCTCACTTGTGCTTTCCTGATCTTCCCTTGACATTTACCTTTGCAAAAGATACTGGACATAGTCAAAGTATAGTCTCTGATCTACGCCAAAATGAGTGAATCTCCTCTGCGATCAATTCCTATGCAGTTTGAAAACCATAATTGGGCCCTGGCATAGCTTAAAACTCAGCACTGTTTACTGACTTCCTCATTTTGATTTTGGAACATTACATTTCTATCATTGGGGTCTGTTGCCGTGTCAAACAATAACGCCATTTACTCTGACACACACGTCAGAGCCACAGGTGGAAAAATGTAACTTGCACATTATGAAAACAGATCAAAGTCTGACTTCCTTATGTGTAATAGGACTCCATGACTGCTAGCACTGACCTCTAAAGCATTATAGACAGTACAAATACCTCATACAGCCGCTAGGAAGTATCTCTATTGCATGACAACATATTGGGGGCAGAAAACAACGGCCAGAAATGTTTACATATCATCAATTCCCTTTATTTTTGTATTTTCAAAGCAACATGCATCTTATTTCTAGCTCTGCTCCTCACTTTGCTCCTGGAACACACCTGTAGGATAGAGGCCAATTTTATACTAAAATTAGAGGCAACCGGAATTTTTTCCTACCTAAGGTAAACAAGCACAATTTGACTTTTCAGTTGTGATAGATGCAAAGTGACATATATATATATCATAAACACCCAATTACTGGACTTCCTTTAATGCAAAACTCTTGATAGCACTCTTCTTGAACAGCAATAGTTACACCTTTTTTTTTTAAGAGGCAGTCTAATGATCTAAGTAGTCAGTCTTGGATATGACCATCTCTCTGGGAATGACTTGTGGGAGCATTTTCCTAGTCAATTTTAGTGTACAGTCACCCAGATGAGCTCAACCAACCTATGGTAGCAGTTCATGTGCACATAATCTGTTCTGGTGGGTCAGCAGTGAGAGTATATAGTGACTTCAGGCAAGCTTAGTGAAGGATGTCTTCAACTCATACAGTGTCTCCTCCTGTTGTTTTTACATGTATTTCCAGGATGCTGAAAGAATTTCTAAGCAAATTTGTTACTAGCATTATGGCTGTTGGATATCCAACTTAGAATCATAGAATCATAGAATAGTTAGGGTTGGAAATGACCTTAAGATCATCTGGTTCCAACCCCCTGACATGGGCAGGAACAACTCTCACTAAAGCATGTCACCCAAAGCTCTGTCCAGCCTGGCCTTGAACTGTGAATCCACCAGGGATGGAGCATTCACAACCTCCCTGGGCAACCCATTCCAGTGCCTCAGAACCCTCACAGTAAGGAACTTCTTTTTTATGTCCAATCTAAACTTCCCCTGTTTAAGTTTTAACCTGTTACCCCTTGTCCTATCACTACAGTCCCTAATGAAGAGTTCATAAGCAGCATCCCTATAGCCCCCCTTCAGATACTGGAAGGCTGCTATGAGGTCTCCACGCAGCCTTCTCTTCTCCAGGCTGAACAGCCTCAACTTCCTCAGCCTGTCTTCATATGGGAGGTGCTCCAGCTCCCTGATCATCCTCGTGGCCCTCCTCTGGACTTGTTCCAACAGTTCTATGTCCTTTTTATGTTGAGGACACCAGAACTGTACACAATACTCCAGGTGAGGTCTCACAAGAGCAGAGTAGAGGGGCAGGATCACCTCCTTTGACCTGCTGGTCACGCTCCTTTTGATGCAGCCCAGGATACGGTTGGCTTTCTGGGCTGCGAGCGCACACTGAAGCTGGCTCATGTTCATTTTCTCATCAACCAACACCCCCAAGTCCTTCTCCGCAGGGCTGCTTTGAATCTCTTCTCTGCCCAACATGTAACTGTGCCTGGGATTGCTCTGACCCAGGTGTAGAACCTTGCACTTGGCATGGTTAAACTTCATGAGGTTGGCATCAGCCCACCTCACAAGTGTGTCAAGGTCCCTCTGGATGGCATTCCTTCCCTCCAGCATATCAACCGAACCACACAGCTTGGTGTCATCGGCAAACTTGCTGAGGGCGCACTCAATCCCACTGTCCATGTCAGTGACAAAGGTGTTGAGCAAGACCAGTTCCAACACCGATCCCTGAGGGGCACCACCTGTTACTGGTCTCCAGCTGGACATTGAGCCATTGACCACAACTCTTTGTGTGCGGCCATCCAGCCAGTTCTTTATCCACCGAGTGGTCCATCCATCAAATTGATGTCTCTCCAATTTAGAGACAAGGATGTCATGCGGGACAGTGTCGAACGCTTTGCACAAGTCCAGGGAGATGACATCAACTGCTCTACCCCTGTCCATCAGTTCTGTAGCCTCATCATAGAAGGCCACCAAATTGGTCAGGCAGGATTTCCCCTTAGTGAAGCCATGCTGGCTGTCACCAAGCACCTTGTTGTTTTTCAGGCTTCCAGAGGGGGCCTACATTGTCCCTAGTCTGTCTTTTATTTGCAGTGTACCTATAGAATCCCTTCCTGTTATCTTTAACATCCCTAGCCAAGTTTAATTCTAAATGGTCCTTAGCGTTCCCAACCTGGTCCCTAGTTTCTCGGACAACATCCCTGTATTCTTCCCAGGCCAGTTGGTGGCATTTATAAATTCAGTGGCTCTCCTGTTTCAAAATCACATTGAATAAAGGAGAGGCACTGTCAGAATAAATGATTATAGCTGTGAATTATTTGAAAAGGAAAATGTAGATCGGGTGGAAGTTGACAAAGATGGAATCCATCTGAACAGAAACAGTCTTTTTCAAAGGACAATTGAGAAGTGGTAGGATTTCAAATAATGAAAGGAGCAGTAATTTCAGATAGAACCAAGTAGGAACTATTTTGGAAATACTGCTGAGGCTGGTTGAACTTTGTGCGTAAGTGGTTTGCTGGGATGGATGATTTTCATCAGGCCATAGCAGTGTCCTTGCTGGGATAACAAGAGGCAGCAGACTGTTCAAGCAGGTAGAGGAGCAGGCACACCACAGATAGCCCAAAGGCTGCTGGGGTGGAGCTGAGCTGTAAAAATAAAGCAGCCCACCCAAAACCCCAGTGGTGTCAGCAGCTTAACTTCGTCAGCTCTTTGGCTTCTGAAGAATGCACTTCAGAAAGCCACTGTGCCAAGCTAAGTGCAAACATTATTTCATTAAACATGCTCTGCTTCTTTTACGCACACAGAGAGAGGAACACAACTCTAATCAACTAAATTGAACGGCAGACTGGGAAAGCAAAAAGGGAAAAAGAAGCTGGTGAAATTTCTGGGGTTTAGCATTTGAAGGGAAATCTGGTGCCCTGGGCAGGTGGAGAGGCATTATGGTGGGCATGTTTATGTTTTGTTCAGCAATCAGTGCATGGCTGTATTCTCAGAAGTCACAGTTAATGATCTGGGGAAAAATGCAATATATCATTTACATGCCAGCTGTACTTCCTTGTTTGTCACTTTTCAGCAGAAAGCCATTGCCCTGTTTTATTTTCTATCACTTCTATAAGATGATAGAGACTGGGGTTGTATGGAGGAAGAATTGGATGAAAAGATTATAAGGTAAAATTTCCATGTTTGATATAAGAAAGCATCTTCCCAGTCACCAGAAACCTCCATCTACAGCTTCTCTAGGAGTGTTTTTCTTTAAAAAGATGTTTTCAAGATTGATTGGTATCAGGTGTGCAGTGCCATGTGATTCGAGCGTTACCATGGTGACCACTCTTTTAGATAGGATGTCAGAGAGTATAATTGCACCTAAAAAATCCCATGTGCAGTGTGATAACCTGCACAGAGATAAGATGTAGCCTCACTCAGACCTAGGTCTGTCTGTGTGAATTTTGCTGATTTATGGCTGCATGCCATTGAAAATGGGATACTGATGTTTGGGGGAGATTTCTCTCCTCTCTCCTTTTCTGTCTGACAAATAGATAGGATTAGCTCTACAGTATAGGAGGAAAGACTTAAGCCCTTCCGACCACCATCTCTCCCCACCATTCTCCTTTTGAATCTATGGCTCTTTCTGTGTTGCACACTAGCAGATACACCTGACTGGTGCTCTGCTGATGCCCGTGTGACTCTACTTGTGTCTACCTTCATGCTAGGGCATGTGAAATAAGGTATTTTACTGCTTTACTGGCATCTGCTGGACAGTGGTGAGCCCAAAATGCTTTCTCTGCTTTTGGCAAATCTCTGACCAGTGATTAGAATTAAATTACCCTTCAAAATGCTGCTTGCTCACTCTTTGTATTTCATGGGTCTTAATGCTGCAAGCACACATTTGCCTTTTTACAGTGTAGCTGCCAATAATGTTAAAGTCTGCATGGCTAGGTGCACAAGTTAATTGGCCCCTCTGTCCATACACTGCTTACATCTGTACTAAGGTAGTTTGACCTTTTGGCTACCACATCCTGTTTTCATGTGTTTCTGCTTCAAGCTAGGTAAGTTGTAGTTGACATAAAAAGCAGTAACCTGCTAAAGGTTATTAGCTTGGATTCTGCATCGGTAAGGAAAAGAGAAAAGTTGTAAGGAGTGGAGAAACTATAACGTGGGTTCAAGGTCAAGAGGCAAGGGCTGAAGGAGCAGTAGAGTTAGAGGGTACTGTGCTTTCCTGGCCCAATTCCTCTACCCCAGCTACCGCTGCTCAGCAACAGCAAGGAGCTCCATGCTCAGCCTCCCATGGCTGCCCTTAGCAGGATGGTATGATCGGCAACAGGAATCCTGGTTTTGATGACTTGCTATGTCTTTTCACTATTGATCTCCTCAGAGGGCCTGGGTTCAAGGCCACGGCAGTACAATAGACCTACAAGAACGTGTGTCAGTGTATCAGACTGTGTCAGGCAGGAGATTGGATGTCAGGGAAAGGTCTACTGTTAGGAAAGAAAATTTCCCTTATGACAGAAACCTATCTGATGAAGTCTTGCACATTCCTGAAATTTTAATAGGGCTGGATCCTTTAAGTTGCTAAATAACTTCAGATCTCCCCGCTATCTGTAGAAGTCAACAGTACTCAGTACTCTTAAGAGTTCAGATTAGAAACTTGAATTGGGACCTGTTGTGTCCTAGTGGTCTTTCATAAGGCTGCAACTGCTATTTTGAAAGGTGAAATTAGAAAATAAGATTAAATAGGTAATTATGGCCCAGTTGTACAGAGTGCATGAGTTTTTAAGCATGCAACTATGAAAATTAGATACCTGATTGAGTATTCCTATGTGCTGGAGCTATGCAGTACAATTGTTTATAGTGCTAAAACTTGAAGTTAAAGTGGCATTTGATGGTATATTGCACTTCAGTTTATTGATTTGACATTATTCCCTGTTGTATTTTACTTGTCTTTTGCTAGAGGGCTCTAATACAATTAATAAATGGAACATAGGCAGATAGTTAAAGATGAGTCCAGTTAGCAGTCCTTTAAGTCAACTTTGTCATGTCCCCACTGTATTAAATACGTGCCCTTTGACTGTGCTGAGAGTTTTTCAGAAGCCAGAGTTACTCCAGTGGTCAAATTCTTAAACTGGATTTTCCAATTGACTTTTAATGATATTCATGAATGAATGTGATATCAAGGAGCTATAAGGAACATTTCCAAATACAGAAACAACTAAAACAGACCCTAATAGAGGCATTGAGCAATTTGAAAAATTGAATATCAAAAGCAGATAAAGAATAAAAGAAGTCAGACTTTGTACAGCATAGAGCACAAACACTGACATGGAGACTGATTGATAGAATGATGAGCCAGGAGCATCTGTCCTTTCAAAAAACCTGTTTGTTAATAAATAATAACCACATCAATTTGCTGCTTTTTATCTAAATGTATAAATAAGACTGGAAAATGCCAGCCAAAACTACTACATGCAGGAAAGTCAAACACGGAGTTGTTTGGCATAAAAGTGAGGTTCCACAGCTGGTTCCTTACTTGAGAAAACTGTGACACAGGGAGTGACTTAAGTTATGAATTAGTGCCTTATTCTTTGCATGTTTACTTCTGTTTCCCTGATTTCTTGCCTCTCTTTGGGGAAGGGCTTTCCTTTTGATTTTGCTCCGCTCTTTAAGTGACAGAAACACACAACAGAAAACCATCTGGAAACCAGACTCAGTGCCAGGCCAGCCCTTTTCAGAATAAAATAGCTGATTTTTGATGCCTGATTTGGAGTACCACATGCTCTGCTCTACACGTCTCACAGCCAAACTGGATACCTGTCACCATGCCAAAAGATGGAGGCTCCTAGAATACAGAGTCCTGCTGGATCAGTTGATAGTTCCCCATCTTTTCCACACCTGTCAGGGTGAGCTGTTCAGCCAGAAGTCTCTTGTGACCATCTTTATCCTGCTTTGTGCATTGCCTGCAACAAGCTAAACATTACTTGCCAAGCATACTAGGCTGTACTCCTTAAACCATGTACGGAAGACTGTCCAGTTTCACTCCTGCCTTATTAAAAGTTTGTCAGGGAAGGAATATTTCCCTGTGAGGAGAGGCTGAGGGACCGGGGCATGTTAAGTTTGGAGAAGACTTTGGGAGGACCTAAGAGCAGCCTTCCCATATAAGGTGTACCTGAGAAGATGCAGTCAGGCTCCTTACAGAATTGCACAGCAGGAGAACAAGAGACTATGGTCATGGACTAGAACAGAGCGGATGTGAACCTGAGGTAAGGAAAAGCCTTTTCTTTGTGAGGACAGTCAAGCCCTGGCACAGATTGCCCAGAGGGGTTGTGGAGTCTCTGTCCTTGGAGATATTCAGAAGCTGACTGGACAAATCCCTGAGTAGTGTGGTCTGAACCAATTACTGATTTGAGCAGGAGGTTGGAGCAGATGACCTCCTGAGGTCACTTACAGCCTGAATTATTCTAGGATTTCATATCACTGAGTTTTCTGCCTTGCTTTATCCTCTGCTTCTGGCTCTGTACCAGACACCTCCTGGCTACGTAGCTTGTCCCACTCTCAGAGGCCTACAGATAATGCAGGATATCACTGCTGTTCTCCACCCAGTGAGCCCTGACATGATGAAAAGTGTGCTGGTATTGGGATATTGACAAACTCCTGTTTTGTCAAAACCCTACCTTGTTTGGGAGTTGCTTAGGCAGGACTTGTAGGCAGCTGTTCCATCAGGAAAATGTTTGCTTTTTTTCATGCCACCATCCATTTTATTTAGAATGATGTTCTGTCATCTTTAACATTGCTGCTCCTCTGGAAGCTAGTATTTAATTTCTCAAAATGATGCCTGGCAGGAAGCCACAGCAATAATTAGCAGGAAGGTGGAACTGCATTCCAACAAACACTTTGCTGAGGTAGTTTAGTATAAGAGCTTCAGCAAATGAAGAAATAATATTGTCTAGTGTTCAAGCCTCAAATAAGTTCAAAGAACTTGTATTCAGGGTCCAAAATAAAGTGGAGCAATTTCTGGGAGCAGGAGCAAGAAATGAGCCAAAGACATAAGATACATGTTCATTTAGGCAGAAAGACAGATGGAATTTTAAAAAAAAAAAAAAAACCCCATACAGCAAAACAGTGCTAACTGATTGGCAAGAGACTAAGAGACTGACTGACTGACTGACTGACTTCCTGCATCAGGAAAGTATAAGCCATTTTTCACACCCAGTCATCACCTTGGCTGATTCTTTACCTGAGTTCAAACCTGTGCCAGCCTATCCCTGTGGCCTTGTAACTCTGCTTGGTGAGGAAGATCGTTCTGATCAATGCAGGAAGTGTAAGCCACTGATTTCCACCTGACTACCTCATCCATTTACTCCCATCTGAACAGAATAACTTCGTTAACTTTTCACTGTTAAAGGAGTAATGCTCCGTTTTTTAGGAGGCAGAAATTTTACAATATCCTTAAATTTGTGCTTGACATTCTGAAGCAAGCATCAGCTGGTTGTGGCCTCTGAGAAACCACCAGAGTCCGCTTCCCCCAAGACCTTGCCTCATGTCTCATGTACCCCATCTGTTCATATTCAGCAAAGTCAAGTAGGATTCCTTTGATTTAATTAGATTTTTTAGTTGTCCCAGAAGCAGTGACACTAATTCATTTTCATATGCAGAACTCTTTTTTTAGAAGTCTAAACAGAATAAAGTTGAACTAGTTTGTACTCTTCCTAATTATGTTACTTGTTCCCTTCGCCTCCTCAGATGACTTTGAGAAAAACAGCAGCAGAGTCAGAATCTACACAGAATGGGCAGACACAAAGACATCATCTAAAATGTCCCCATGAATAGTCTGAAATAATAACTTACTAGTAAATGCAAAATAAAATTAGTCAAACTGCAGACTTGACTTTTTTAAATTAAAGAGACTAAAATAACAGATTTCTAATCTAGATCAGTGGCAATTGTCTAAAATCATGATAAAGTAAAGTATACAACAAGGACACTTCTTTCTGGGCCACTGTTAAATGTTTGATTTTGCATTTTTTTCCCCAAAAATGTTACTTTTGGAGTTGAAATTTACAAGGTTGGCTGACAGTAAGGAGAGCAAAGAGACTCTCCTGAAAAACAGGGCTTCGGGATGACAGCAAGGAAGGATCATCAGTTTGTCTATCAAAAGCAACATTCATGTTGCCTTGACAACTGGGCAACACTGGTAGCAGTTGCTGAATTCACCAACTTCAAATTCATTTAATTACTTGGGGTGTGCCTGAGCAAGGATGGCTTTCTATTTGGTGAGAGCAACAAAACAGGAGGCCTTTTCTGACATATGATGTAATATGTGTTTGCGTCAGTTCAGACTTGACTATGTGATGATCAGCTCTTGACCTCAGTGCAGCTTGTGAGTGTTCAGGGACTGAGGTGGTAGTAGGAGACACACAGGTGGCAGAAACAATAAACAGAAACTGCCTTCTCAGAGTTTCCAAAATAATTACATAATTATCTTCTCTTTATTTTGGACATGTTAGCAGTCTGTTTTTCTCAAGTACTGTATGCCTGACAGCTTGTACTGACCGCCTTTATTTTGTTCGTGATTCTAACTCCAGTATTGCTGACGAACTAATGTATGCCATGCATTTGTATGTCACCAAAGGCTGGCAAGAAGCATAATTTTTTTTCCTGAGTAGTTGGATTAAAACTGTCTAAAAAATCTTTCCAGAGTAAATTATCACTGTTTGGTGTATGCAACTAATATGTATAATTGAAAGCTGACCCTTCAACTTTATTTTAATCCTGTTCCTTTCTTTGTAGGTGTGGTAACTCCTCACTGGCAGGGACAAGTTCTAATAATCTTTCCCCTAGGGAGATAGGAAAAGTCAAACTTCTAGTGGCAGTGAGTCAACATAGCATGTAACAACAGAGGCAATTACAAGTATCCTTTCATCAGATTAGCAGGTCTGGGTGGTGACTGATCTCATTTACTTTCAGTTGCAAGAAACATGTAAATGTACTAAGATGTTTTGCAACTGTTGTCTCCAAGAGAACAGCATCTTAATGGGGTCCTCTTTAGTGCTTGCTTTATCACTATGTAATGTAATATTAGCAATGCAAGGAATATATTATTTCAGAGAAATATTCTGCAGTTCTTTGCAGCATGGTTGATGTTTTTAGTGTCAAGTCTTAAATAAATATACAGTGTTTTGGTTTAATTTTGTGTTAGTTTTACTCATTTGGTTTAATCCCTCTCTAACAGCTAAGTGCTGTGGACACTTTTTATCTGGGCAGTTAGGAGGTAATTAGAGAAGAGGACAGGTAAGAATTAATGGTTTGTGGGAACAAAATGAGCAGTCATTATGATACTCTGCACAAAATGTGGAAGTTGTGAATATTGGACTGATTTCAAGGCCTCTTTCTTCTTGTATAAGAAATAGTTACTTGCATAAATAATAGAAGCAGTCTTTAGGTTTCAAGCATAATATTTTTCCTCTGTGTTTCAAGTGGTGACCTGACTAATGCCAGTCCTGACCCCCAGCTTCTGTGACATACTTTTTTTCCCTCTCAAAGAAAGCGCTGTATTAGAGCTTAAAGTGTAAAGGCTAAAGCAAAACTTGCATTAACGCAAAAAGAGCAGAGTTTTAGTTACAGTACTTCTTCACAGTGAAAAGTGCTGTGGCTCAACTTAATCTCTTCTCCAGGGGTTAAAATATTCACATCGGAGACAGCAGCTAAAGGCAGTTTTTTCTCACATCACTAGGTATACGCTTCTGGTCATGTTTTCAAAAGGAGGAATGAACCCTGTCTGGTGATTTGAAGGAGTCGCTTCAGAGGGAATGATTTCATCAGCTGAAGTGAGCGATGAGTAGGTGCAGGTGCTCCCTGGGAACCCAGAGCAAGTCTGTGAAGGGTAGGATCCCTAGGCATGCCCTCCTCACAGGTTAGTTTGTTAGTTCCAGCTGGTTCTCCTTTCTGGTATGAAATTGGTAGGTGGAAGCAGTTTTCTGAAGCATCCAACTTGGTAGAGGAAACTTTGACATCTAGCTTTACAGTTTGGCTTCTTTCTGAATCGCAGGCCTGCAAATTGCCCTAAGCAAAGGTGTCATGGCACATGTCTTCTTGGCTGAAGAATGAACATAAATCTGTGCCCAGATGCTATGAAGAATTGTGGTGTGTGGTACAAGAGGAGGCAAGATAAGGTCCAGGAACAGTAGAGGGCCATCATCATGACAATCCACAAGAAGCTTGATTTTGCAAAGGGCTGCTTGCAGTAGGCTTGACTCCATCTTTATTCACTTTAGAGGAAAGTGGGTTTTATCAGCTGTAGTATGGCCCTGAACAGTTCCATATGCAGTGAAGTTTAGGGAAGTTTCTTTTCCTCCCTAGTCATTTCACCTTAACGGCTACAGCAAGAGCATTTAGACAAAAAAGAATCTGGATGACATATGTCCTCAGACATCAATGTACATGTGGGGGTATCCCATATAATTACATGCAAATTACAATGTGAATTATGTCCACAATACCAATAACCTGAAATGCCTTTATATTCATCTTGTAAATTTAAGGGCATTCTAGACAACTGAGCTTCTAAATGCATTAAACTGAAGGTGAGAAGACTTTTTTCATCTGTTAAAAAAAGAATAAACAAAACTCTTTACTGTAGACAAAATGCGTAAGTAAAAGTCTTAGGAATATTATTTTGAAAATAAATTTCTTGAAATGAGAAATGCAAAAATGATTTCTTGATAAACAATGACATGCTAGAATAGACTTTCCACAACCCAAACATTATGTTGAGAGGTTCGGAATACTCTCAGTGCTGCAAGACCAATAAAGTTTATCTTGAGTTTACAGCAAATAATCTGTCCTTACATATGTAATGGGCAAACTTTCCCTAAAGCATCCTGCTGCCTATTTGGAAGCTCTTAGATCATTAGTTTATCTGCACCAAGCCACTTGCCAAACTTATAAATATGAAAGTCTGTTTGCTGAGTCACAGTTTTGGAAGCTGCAGTAGCAGTTCAGAAAAATCTACCCTTTAGCTGGTAGAAATCCTGGAGAGCTGCAAACATATATAATATATATGCTTTTGAACTTTAAAATACAAAAGGGAGAACTTGTGACAGACCTTTTGTATGTCCATGTTGTTTTCTTCCTGTCTCAGCAGTTAGGTAACTGTAAAGCAGCGAAAGTCAATACATAAAATGTCAGGTTTGAAAGGGGGGGTGTGCAAAGAAAGCATTTTAGGCTAAGAATGTGGTTCAGAGCACTGACTGTACAAACAGTTTGTCCAGTAATATCAGCGGAAGCAAAAGCATGGTTTTTGGTCTTTGGTAAGCAACAGATTTGGAATAAGAGAGCATTTTAACTTGACATAACATTCACAATTTTATGTTTCCCTGCTGATACTAGGCATGATTTATTGAATAGAGGGGGAATAGAATGACAGGAAATGTGCTGGAAAGGGGCTAATGGGGCTCTAGCCATTGAATTACCCCAGCTGGGTTGTGTGTGTGCATCAGCATTGTGGCAACCACATACTTCCTTTCTGCTACTGCAGCACAGGTAGGTGTGACCCTGGCAACCTATTTTTTGTCCCCCTTTATTCTCTTCAGAACCTGCTCCTTAATTAGAAACCCATTCTTGCTTTGCCTTGCCAACTATACTTGTAAAATAAATTAGGCATATCTTGTAAGCAATGGCCAAGGACAGTTATGTAGTTGAAGTTTCTTCTGGATAGTGTTAATTAAGCAAAACCAATAAAATAGGCATAATTGACAAGCACAAGAAGAAAACTAATTTTACAGAGTGGTAAAAGCTCCAGGGAAGACTGCAGTTTTTCCTGTGAATTTATGCTCTCTATTCTATCAGCTACTGTTGCAGAAATATTGAGGTGGAGGTTGAGAAGTGGTACAATTTATTTTGCAGTATTCTGAAATTCAGTAATCTCTCCATGACAAACCACTATCTACTTCAAAATACTGATCTTTATATTATTATTATAACTGTATGGAGCAACATTTTTATAACTAGTACCTATGGAGCAGATAGGGTTCTATGAACCCTTCGCAACATTTGCACGGGGTTTCGTAAGTATTACTGCTTAATATGAAAGTGCAGAGGGAATAATGTTCATCCAAGAGAGAATATGGGGAAGAAAATGTTATACTTGGCAAGTGCTGAATTGTTTAATAGATCAGAGTAGGCGTTAATGTAGCTTCATACTATACCCAAATAAATACATTAAGTGATTTGAAGGGTAACTTAACCGTTTAAAAAAATGGTTTCCTTTTTTTTCCTTTCTTTTTATGTCTAGGTTAAACATTTGAGTATGACACCATACAAAAAAAAAAGGAATATTTATCTAGGCAAATTAATGTCTATTTCTGCTACCTGACTTTATGATCCCACTGACATCCACTGAAATGTCCCATCTGAAAGGTTTACAGCAAGACCCCTCTCTCAGTTGCCCCACTGTACATCTGGGGGAACCTAACTCCTGTGGGATTGCTCTAGATTTGCAGGAGTTGAGTTTTTTACACAGCTTAGGGTCCTCTACACTAGAGGAAACCTATGCAGTGGTAAATAAAACCCCACCTTCCCCTAGTCTCCACCCTTGAAAAATGTCAGGTGGAGACTATCATCTTGACAACGTTGAGTCATTTCCTCAACTGAGAAGTTAATCTTTCTTCAGTGTTCCTTTCCCTTTTTATCCCTGCTGATGTACTTGGCTCATAAGAAGCTCTTTTTGTTTGTATGGCTTCAAATTGTTTAAGCCTTTCTGATTTTTGAAAGCAAGGAGGCTTTTCCACTGGCTGTTTGCTTCTCTAGTAATTGTGTGATGGCAGGTTATTTTTGAGGCAACAGTGGAAGCCAGAGCTGCTGGCACCTTCCTGGATGTTCCTCCCTGTGATTGACTACAGATCAAGTGGTGGCTTTCTTCTGTAGCTCACACCCAGCCCCTCTTCAAGAAAAGCCATGTTGCGGGACTGAAGTCATACCTGAACCATGAATTTTAAGGTACTTAAGCATTTGGGGGGACAGAATTGGGCAGACTGACCAAAAACTATACTAGATGACCTAATTCCCTGCAGGTTGGTCAGTGCTCCATGCAAATCAGCTGACAGCTAACACAAAATGAAGTATGGTTATTTCCAGGCAGCTTTCTTGTCTGTTGTGAAGCTCTGTGTGTATAGATGCTGAAATATTAACTCTGTTGTAGACATTTGCTTAAAATGTGGTGTGGAAGTATTATTTATCTCATGACAGTGTGGAGGTTCTTATGCCGTTGTTACGTGTTATCACTTTGGATCGCCGACTGCCATTGAAGGGACACAGCTTGCTTTCTTACCAGCTGGCCAGGCAACAGTTGCACCTTTGGGGTGACTGTAGCACCACTGCCTGTGCAGAGAGATTTGCCCTGGTTTACAGGAGGATGGAGACTTCATTTATAATGTAGTTGTTAAGAACTTATTTTTGTACCAGAAATGCCCTGAACAGAAAGGCTGAAGTCCAGAAGTCTGAATGTAAGGCATATGCTCCTTTGTAGTCTGTTTATTTAAGTGTATTCAAGTTTTGTTTCCCTTTTGGCAACAGTTCAGCTTTCCTTTGGCTTTAGCCAAAGTTCTGCTTTAGCCAGCTGAAAGCCAGCCACTGAGATCACATTCTAGTTGTTCCTGGGTGTCTCTGGTGTTCATCAGCCCCTTTTTGCTGTCTTGTAAGTAGCTTTTCTCTTATGCTCTCCTTTGATGTATTCTACCAGTTGTGTTCTCTACCACTTTTAGGCTGTTTTTAAAACGTTTTTACAGGTTCCATTGGCATCTATGATTACTGATGAACTTTAGTTAGAGATGTGCTTGTCTGTATGCTGCTTTTGACAAACTAAGCAAATAGAGAAGTTCCCCTTTGTTTGAGCCTTGCCAGTGTTTTCCTGCTCATTGGGCTTTTACACACTCTGAAAGTTGTCTTTTGTCTTTCTAGGCTCTGCTTTGAAACACTAGAGTAAGCATCTTGTTTGGTATAATAAATGTGGTTAGATTAAAAAACAAAAAGGCTCTAGATTATATGTTCTAATTTTGTTCTCTGGCTGTGACTTAGGGAGTGGTCAGTGGTTAGGGAGTTTTCTGCTGAGAAATACAGAAATGGGTTCTGTTTCTCTGTGGTTGCATCTCTTCCTTCTTCAAAAAGGAAGAGGGATTAATCATCTGGTGAAACCATTCATGTGGCCTCTCAAATGCAGATTGTCAAGTCGGTCCTCTAGAGACATCCATATCAGCCAGGTTTCTGGAGCTCCCTGTGACCAGGAGGAGTTTAAGATGAAGCACTGGATACAAACAGCTGTGAACTGAGCCCAAAGAATTGCATGTGCTTGGACCTGGCCATCACACAGTCCGCACAAATTTGAAGCACTCTTCACAGTTTAGGGAGGAGTGCTAAAATTTCCAAGGCAGAAACAAATCTTGATTTTTCATGTTTTTTTACCTGGCAGAATAAATGAGCAGGGCTTTTGTGGAGGGTTATTTGCAGAGATTTATTTTCTGTCAGCTCTCTCCTAAACCTCTGTTTCACAAAACAAATCTGTAGTGGTTTTGTTGATGTTCTCAGGAAAAGATTGTGACTCATAATTTCAAAATTAATATAGCATACAGGTCTGTTTGGTGAAAGGTTATGTCTTTTCATCTGCAATCAAGAAAATTCAGAATTATTTCACCTTTTTTTTGAGAAAACCACAAGATATAAATAAAAACATCCTTTCAACTGCTCATTTTAAAGTGAACCATAAAAATGTAACAGAGAATACCAGAGAAAAATGTTTCCCATGGTGCCTTTAGTCTTTTGAAGCTCTTCAAGAACAAGAAGTCATCTACAGAAAGAGTCCCCTGAAATCACACCATCTGCAGTTCTCCAACCAGTTTCATGTAAGACTCTAGGGGGGAGGTATAGGCTGTACTCATCTCCAGTGTTGAGTGGAATATAGAAAAAGGGAATCCACCATCTCTAAGGGTATGTGCTCATAAGGAAAGCATGGCAAGCATTCTTCTTATTTTTGACTTTTTGAAGATACAGCTCTTAGTGCAGAAGTAAATGCCAGTACATAAAACAAAGAGTAAATGTTTTGAGTAGTACAACAACATCTGCATAACCTCTCAAAGATCTGCACTTGTAAGTCAGTATAATTTCCAGGTTTTTGTTTTTGAAATGCTCAAGTCCATACCTCCACCAATAAAATTCCATGGAGTTTTCATTAAGCAGTGCAATTAGTTCTGTGTGTTTCTGGGAAAGATGCATCTTTGTAGAATGTATCCTCCAAAATGGTCTCTGTGTTGGTTTCAATCTGTCTAGAAATGGAAGGTGTGAGGTTGCAAGAAAATTCACTCAGTGATAATGCCTGTCTGTTTTTCTCCTTCTCTCCTTTTCTGTGCTTAATAAGACAAAATGGAGGGGGAGACTCCACTTCAGAGAAATTTGCACAGGAATTAAAAAAAAAGAAAAAGAGAGATTAATTTACACTGCTGGTGTCAGGCTGTAAGATGATTATGCTGGCAAAGCTAAAAAAGGAACACTCATAGCTCATGGACATTTTGGAAGAGGTCATTAGCTTAGCAGATAGGAAAAAATGGGTTTTGAGCATTCAGCAGTTCCTGAATTCACACAGTATGTTACACAGGTATGTGTACCCACTGGCCAGATGCTGTGGAAGCTGCAAAATTCTAAGAGAAACTTGTGAGAGTGGTGTTTCCAATTAAACATAAAATCTGAAGGCTACAAATTGTCAGCACTGAACAATAATATGTAACCAACTGAAAACAGGTTCTTTTGGGAGCCTCATTCCTCTGCATCAGAGTGCCTTCAGCAAGAGAGTGAAATGGCAGATGTGATAAACTCCCCTTCTCTTAGTTGCCTTGCTCATTCTTCTGTCTTCCTGTGGGAAGGTTCATGTGTGGTGCTGCCTGGGGAAAGAGCCTCTGTGAGGACAGTGTAGGCTCTTGCTGTGGTCCTCCTGTGGGGCAGGGTGGAAGATGCCGGTTAGGGAGGAGGGCACTGGCACTTCCTGTGTAGAGTGAGAGTGTCCTGGCTGTGTGTGTGAATTTGGTGTGTAGAAGGGCAGAGAAAGAGGAGGGAAGGTGTTTGCTGCCGTAAGAGGGGTGGCAGTACTGGTGCTGCATCTTTCAAGGGAAGAGAGGGAGGAGTTGAGTTGAAGGATGCCCCATCTGCAAGGCAGCAGTTGGCAGGCTCTCTCTTGCCTGGGCCTTTTAAAAAGTTCCTGTTAAAACTGATGTGATTCAGGAACATGATAGTTCCAACAGACCCCTGCACACTGGAAGTGCAGATTCCTTTACAATGGAAAAACAGTTTTCAGTAGGAACATCCTATCCAATTCTGCTCCAAAGGAAAGCAAAATAAAAACAGTGCTCAGACATCTTACTTTTTGCTTTTGATGCTCCATGTGGAAGAATGGCTCTGATCTGGCATGTCGAAGTTAAATCCACCTCTCACTCAAAATATAGCAGACTAAATGATATATTTAAAATAATAAAGACAAGGAAAAAGAAAGATGGTTGTTAAAACTTTTAAAACAAAAAGATTCAGTATGTGGACCTCCCAACCAATGTTGTTTGTATGACAAATAGGAACAAGATTTGATAGCTTTCTTACATTTTAGTTTCCATCCCTCCACTTTTCCTTAAATGTCAATGGTCCATGTAGATTAACAAAGTTACATAAAAGTTCTATGCCTAGTGCCATTCCAGCTAAAATAGCTTGAGGGTCCAGCTGTACTCCATTCAAGTAATTTGTGAAAAGCACACTTTGCCTTTCTACTCTTTCATCTTTTAAATGGTCCTGTTTTTTTTTCACAGCCTAATTATCATTTGGGATATAAGTACAGTCTTACTTGGTCCTTATTTGAAGCACTTGATCCAGGTGTTTTGAAAGCAGGGCATCTTTTCTGAAAGATAATTTACCAAAATGGAAAAGACTTTTTTAAAGCCATCTGCCTTAATTAGAGATCATTTTAATTGAATTAATTTAAAATACATTAATTTAGCTGAGTGGAAAGTATATGACTGCCAGCCCAGTACATGCCTTAGAAATGACTGTTTGGTGTTTGTTCTTGAGTAACAGATAAGCTATAATATTTGGAGGTGGGGTTTTGCATTTAGGGATTACTTTTTTGAGAGACAATAATTTCCCCCAATTGCCAGATAAGCTCAGGGAGACAATAAAATAATTTCCTTTGTACATTTCACTAGAATTTTGATGGAAATATATCTGTTTTACTGAACTAGTCTGTAACCATGAAGCTTTACAATAGAAAGGTCGTTTTAATGTCCTAGGCTAAGGGCATTGGAGGGTAATAGAAATGATTCATACTTTCATAAAATAGAAGTATATTGAAAGGCTAAAGAAATTAAACTAAATGAATCCCAGGTGTAATTCTACTGACTTGTTTAGGCTTATAACTAGTATGAATTTCACCTATTAGGCCTATTCTCATAGGAAAAAGAGACACTCTGAAATAGCAGGAAAGTCAGGGGGGTTTATAAATCACTGTGATCAATGGAATCCTTTCAGCTGAGATGCAGAGGAAACAAATGGAGCCATCTAAAAATGGGAAGGTGTGAGTAAGCGTAGTACTGCAGATAAACCCTTCACCTGAATTAATCCAAAGTAAGTTGCAAGGAAAAAGTTATGAATGTGTACTGCGGCTAATCATATAGCCTATTTGTTTGCATCATTTGTTTGCAATCAAGAGATTGTGGGTTTGGGGTTATTTTTTTTCTTTTTCATTTATTTGAAATTATATTTCATTGGTGCTATTCAGTAGAGCAGGGTGTAGCTAGCTTATTGCCAGAAAATTTAAGGACAAGATAATCTCAAATATTTATGGTCCCATATCCCCTATTCTTTGGAAAAAATTGGTACGTTTTTTTCCCTCCCAGTCTCAAAATGTTGTGGCGGAGAAGTGAATCTGTGATTTGTCTTGTTCCAATTGTGCCTGTGCATGCATTGAATACCCT